TTTAATGAATTCATGTTTAAAATAACTTCAACAAAACATAAACTGAGAAGAAGACGAGCTTTTTATGGCTCATTAATTATTCATCATTAATGGATCATTGATTGTTAAGGTGTTCAAATATCGCTTAAGAAAAATGAGTGAAATTTGATTCTAATCATCAAGATGTTTTTTTAAATCTACAGTCACAGAGATTCAGTGGTTAAGTCCTCAGTGGGAGTTCTTCTCTCAGTTCTGATGCATGCAAACTGTTTCTCAGTGAAAGTGTGTGTTGGTGTCAGACTCACTGTGATCCTCTGCAGCCTCTTCTTCACTCAGAGAACAGGGACAGACTCTACCCCCCACAGTGTCCCAGCTGTGAGTCCCTGAGTTACACCAAACAGATCTGAGCTCTGTCATAAAGACAACCAGAGACATCAGGACGACACAGTCACAGAGATCTTCTCTGGTAACATCTTCAGTGGGAGTTTATCACAGTGTAATGTATGGAAACATCCTCTCAGTGAAAGTGTGTGTGAAGGTGTGTATGTGTGTGTTAGTATCAGGATCAGAGAAGGACAGCTCTCCTCTGTTACAGTCCAGATTCACTCTGATCCTCTGAAGCTTCTTCTTCACTGAGAGATCAGTGGATGGATGTGGTGGGGTGTTGCTCTGTATTTACCATCATAGAACCATATGACCATAATCCAGACTGTTGTCCCTTCCTCTGTCCAGACTCTGCTAACACACCCAGAACCAGATGTACTGTCTCCAACCTGGACGTCCCAGCTGTGAGTCCCTGAGTTAAAGCCCTCAGAGCCCAGGACAGAGCGTAAGTATCAAACCTCTCTGGATTATCAGGAAGCTGCTGTCTCTCTCCTCGTGTCACACAGGTCAGATCTTCAGACAGGATGAGTGGATGAGCAGTGTTTGGGTCCAGAATGACCGGACTGTAGGAGACCATGTCCTTCATCTTGTTCCAGATGTTGAAGCTCAGGTTGCCCAGGTGTTTGGCCTGGTCTATCAGAGCTCCTGAGGGCAGCTGTGGATCCTCCAGCAGGGGGCGCTGCTGGACTCTTTCCACTGCAGCCTTGTAGTTTTTCAGGAATGAGACGTCTTCAGCTCTCAGCTCGTCCTCTGTGTCTCTGACTGTGTGTGAAAGAGCTGCTATCTCTCTGCTCAGAGCCTCCATCTCCTCCTTCATCCTCTGACTCTTCTGCTCCTCTTCCTCCCTCAGTGCACACAGCCTGGCCTCCTCTTCCTCTTCTAGAAACTGGTGAAGCTTCTTAAACTGCTCCTTAATCTGCCTCTCTGTGTGTCGGGCCTGGACCTGAATGTGTTCTGCTGTTTGATCAAACTTCACTTTAACTTCTTTAAAAACATTTAACTTCTTCTTTACCGGCTCCAGAGTTTCCTGAAGTTTCTTCTTGTGTTGTCCAGCAGCTTCATCGATGGGTCTGAATCTGTGATCAGAGTGTTTTTCTGAATCTCTGCAGACGACACACACCGGCTCCTGATGGTCCAGACAGAAGAGTTTGAGTTTCTCAGAGTGCAGACTGCAGAGATCCTCTGAAGCTCTCTGATCTCTCTCCTGCACAAAACTCTCACACAGGTTCTTTAAAGTAAAGTTAGGAGGTAATAAATCATTTGAATGTCTCCTCTTACAAACCGGACACTCCTTGTTCTCCTTCTCCTTCCAGCAGTCCTTCACACACTCTCTACAGAAGCTGTGACAGCAGGACAGGATGACTGGATCTTTAAAGATGTCGAGGCAGACCGGACAGCACAGATCTTCCTCTAACTTGGACGCCATTTTATCTCAAGCTGAAGACGAGGAGACGAACAGCTGGGAGTCACTCCCTGTCACTCAAAGTTCCTTTAATCTGTATTCTTTGTTCTTTTTTTACGTCTTATCCGGTTTGTGGATTCAGTTTCAGGTAAAAGTCCAGATTAGTGAGGTTACGTTTGACACCGAGGCTTTGAAGCGTGTGTCGAGTAGGAGGCACATTTCTTTCTTTCCTCACTTCGAGTCTACGTCATTGATCTGTTTGTGTTTCGGTTTTGGATAAGAGGAAGTGAAACCCACTTGTCATGTCTCCTCATGAGTTTGCGTTAGTTGGTTGTTGGGAGTTGTAGTTTTGGTTCTCTTTTTTTGGAGAAATGGAGCCTGTGAGAAAGAGGAAAACGTCTCCTGTTCGGAGCATTTTGAGTTATAATCTCCCAATAAAGTAAACGTTAAAACCAGGCGCGGAGCCTGTGGTCATTGCAGAGGGGGGGACCAATAGTGGGCCCATAAACTGTCTATAGGCTATATAGCATATGCTGTAGCCTATATAGTAATATAGTATATCATTTATGGTATAATATCGGCTGTATGGAGATACAAGACGGGGCGGGACGAAGAGAAATGCCGCTGCAGATTACAAAGGGTGTTATTACAGTGACAGGGACTTATCAGTGAGTGACCTGCTGATGTTTAAACAGAACAAGTGCTGATATGTCTGTGCGCATATTCCACCGATTAAACAAGTAAAGCAGACTTCATTAACCGGACGGGAAACCAAAGATAGAAGGCAACTACAGTTTAACATTCAGGGAAGTTGGACGCTCACCTATGGAGGACTAAAAGTGCCAAAATGAAATATATAAATATATAATTAATGAAATCATTAAATGTGTCATCAATTATTTAATATTGGAAATAAATCAACAAATATGTAAATAAATATATAATTATTTAATTAATTAAATGCATGTGTTATTAAATAATTAAATAATTATTTAAATGTGTCATTAATTATTTAAAATTGGTAATAAATAATTTATGAAACACATCATTAATTAATGAAATGTTTAATTAATTATTTAAAATGTTAATTCATTTAATTATTTTACTATTTATTTAATTATTTCTCTATTTACTTTATCATTTCATGGTCCCTACACCAGCAGTGCATCATGAAATCATTTCATCAGTCACTGCTGCTCGTCAAAGTTTCTAACATCTGATTGGTTACTCAGCAAAGCAAGTCATGACAGATCGATCCCAGATAATGGATTGAAGCAGTGAATGCACTCCGATACGTTAGGTGACAGTGTTCATCCGTATATTCGTTTCGGTATGCTCTTCATTTGTCGCCGAAAAAATAGTTGCTGATGATACAAGTGAAGACGGATCAATCAGCTCACCATTGGTGCAAAGTGTTAGTGCAGGATGTCCAAAAGCTCTCCGGAGCACAGGTACAGCAGATACCTGTCGCTACACCACGTACACCTGTTCAAGGTAGGTAAGGATAGCCAGATGTGCTTCTAAACGAAGCTAGCTAGTCGGCAGAATGGTGTTAGCATGTCAGCAGCCCTGAAGTTGGACTTTTATCACTTCTTTCTTTTTAGTTGTTGTTTGCTTTCTTTATTACATTTATCAGGACTTAAGGATGTTTTAGCTGAGTGGCGATCATGGGAGCTGTAACATTTTCTCTGTGTTGCAGCCGAAGTAGCAAGGCTGTTTGCTCCATACAACAACAACAACAACAACAACAACAACAACAACAACAACAACAACAAGGCTGATAAAGTTCCAAGCATTCAGCTTAAAGCAGACCTTCTTGCTTCAGGACTTGGAGAACAAAGGTGATCTTTTCAGGTGCGTCTGAAACAAGAACTTTGACAAAGCACTGAGTCCTGACATTAGTAGGAGTTGTATTTTTAATTTCATTTTATCGCCATTTGTGTTCACCTATTTTACATATTAGACTCAAACTTTAATGACGTGATTTTCTTGCTGTGTATTTGTTATCACAGCTTAGCTTTTGGTATTTGAGTTAATGTGCATTATGTATATTTACAGGAAATGACAACGATCCCATGGTTGTAACAAACAAACTGATGGAGGTGTTTCCAAAGCTGCAAGAAGGGGAGGCTTTGAGTTTCTAAAAATTGCAGGATCTACTCGCAGTCGAAATCTTGGACTTCTTCAATGTCCCAGCACAGGATACACCCTTACCTATCTAAAAGATCCATCTCCAACAATTGGACAGGCTACAATTGACATACGCCCACTTCAACAGGACCTACCCATTGATTCAGTATGGAAATTTACACTGTCACCATTTGATACATAGTTCAAATAAATTGCACTGTGGAGTTTTAATCAATACTTAACAGATTTGTTGTTCTTAGGAAAGCTCGGGACATGCCTCTGGTCCAGAAGGAGGTTCCCTTCTCTGAAATGAAACTGCACCGAGCTAACTGGGATGGCTATGCACTTGTTAAAGATATATAAGAATTACATATTCATTTTTCAATAAGAAATGTCTTTTTAGTTTTTGTGCACACAGATGAGAGGAAATGACTATAACATTTTCTGAACTTCAAGGACCCCCATGCAGGAAACACATAGAGAAGGAGAGGGAGACCGTGGTGAGGAGAATGATAGAGAGCCACCCACTGACAGGGACAGCGTTCCAGTGAGGCCTGAAACATCTGTAGAGAGTGAAGTAGAACCAGTAGTGATTGAAAGTGAGAAGATTGATCTTAAAGAACTTGACAATGCTTTGTGTCATCACAGTAGGAATGCTATAATATTGTGCATGATTAGAACTCAGTCAATAGAAGAATAACACCTTTTAACCATAATAAATAACGACTAGAAGACATGCCATTATCACTGCTGTTTTATAGAACCTTAGAAACACTTCCTCATACAGTTCACAGACTCCACATCTAAGTGAAGCTTGGTTGACTTCAAACAGCAAATAAGCATCATTCTGATGAAAGTCAAGTAGAAATGGACTTTCCTAGTATCTATTAAAAGGCTGTTGGATTCTGTCACATTTTTCAGGTGTTCCTCCTTTTCTGTTGATTGGGAGTTTATCTGCATTTAACATGCAAAGTAGTTACATTTATTTTTCTTCTTGTCTAGACTGGAAGATTATTAAAGAACCAACTCTGGCTGCCCAAGTTTTCAAAGATAATCTACTAAGTGAACATGCAACCGGGAAGCCTCTTAAACTGAAATGGATGTAAGGGAGCGTGAGGAGGACAGGGAACGGGCACTTCTCTCATTCTATAAACAGCAACAGGAATGGGCATGTCCACTTCATTGTACCCTTGATGGTTAGTAGAATAGAGTTCATAATATAAATATATCCTGTTACATTAATATCAATTCTATGTCTTATATGGAATGGTATTAGTGGTTTACTGGTCCCATCAGGTCATTTGGCTGATATTAATCATTATATGATAATCTGCATTGGCTGTTCATGCTGTCTGCATAACAGTTCATGTGTTTGTCCTTCCTTCCTAAACTTGTCAAGCACCTATAGCCTTGTTACAGCTTGTTTCTAGTGTGTTATTAACAGTATACAGTATTCTTTAAAAAAAAAAAGTTTTATAGGTGATGCTGCTGTTGGACAGGGAGTGATGCGTACTTTCTGACAACAATAATATCCAAACTCCAGTTTGGATTCAGAATGAATCTTGGTAAATGTGCTACTATTCAGGTTAATGTCATGCATTTTAAAAGTTAATTGTTTGATTTGAAGCCCTGCTCTGTTGGTACTTACAGGAGGAGTGGGCCAAACTCTGCTATTTGAAGGTGAGCCTGACCATCTCGTTCCAGCTGCATCAGAGGTGCTTATTGAGAGCAACCTCTTCCGGGTTGCAGGAAGGATGATAGCCCACTCCTTTTTGCATGATGGCCCCCATGTCACCGGATTAAGTCCTGCTGTTATTCATGTACTGTTCAATGGGGACCCTGAAATGGCAACAATTGTTGTCGAGGACTGTCCTGATCTGCACATCAGGAGTATTATAACAATGGTATGTAACACACAAACAAAAAAACCTTTGCCTTGCAAAATTCCTGGACAGGTGTAATACCTTTTATGATCCAAACTGTAGCTTGAACTTGAAGAACTTACTCAGGAACAGAAGGACACAGTGTCAGATCTTTCCCTGTCTTGGGATCTCCCAGCAGTCACTAAAACGAATCAGAGGTGGCTACATAACAAACTTCTAGTACACGCGGTGAGTTTCTCCTGCTGATTTGGTGAATTCTCCTTCTGAAATTGAACTCATCCCCCATTTATCCATCAATTATGTTTCAAGCTAAGCAATTCTATCACGTCTGCATTTCTTTTGCACATCTGTATTTCAATCACAAACTAATTGGAACTGCAGGCAGGATTATTACAGAACCTAAACACTCTTTAACTTGTAATCTAGGCAGGGAGTGGTTTGGTGTTGCATATGAAAGGATATAATTGGGGAAAAATACATCTTAACCCTGTAAAGCCTGACACATGAAAAAATAACCAGAAATTCTATTCTTTTGGAGTTGAGATGTTTATTAAACCCTTAAACAAAATCCCCAAAATGTTTTTCTCATATCATGTTGTTTATGATATTTTTTTGTAGCACATTTGATACATCGGCGTTTTTGGCAATTTTTTGCACACATTTCAGGAAGCTTTTCTCGTTGTTTTTTTAACATAACACTTTTTACAGCCTTTTTATTTCATTTTGTGGTAGGCACAAAAACAGTTTCTGTCCTTGTTCAGGCAAAGATGCACCTTACA